TACTTAAAACATAGGTTATTTTAGTTATTTTCAATGAGAATTTATTAAAATTACATAATTTTATGACATCTTTCCTCCTAATTTTTTAGAAACCAAGGTAACAAACACTTTTCTCATTTGTGCATATAAATGTCTTTTGCAAGTTGTCTAGTGTCTAAAAACTTACTTTTTAATTAATTTTTTCAAAAATTAACTATTTGATTCAAAATTTTATTCATATAGATTATGCATACCAATTTTAAATTAATCTAGTAGACTGTAATACCCTGAATCCCAAATTGAGATGGAAATGTAAGAGCTTGTTTGGTGTGACTTGTGAGAGCTTTTGCTTTTTAAGTATTGTTATGAGTGATAAATTTAAATTTTTATTGGAGAGAAAATAGAGCTTTAGCTTTTATAGGTGAAAAAGTGAGTGAAAAATAAGTAAAAATGGAGTTTATGAAAAGTTTGGATTTGAAACTTTTGAATTTTTACTGTTGAAGAATTTTTTGAGGTTAAAAAAATATTTAAAAGTGTAAATTTTTAAGAGGAAAATTTAAATTCATGAAACATGAATAGTATCCAAAAGCTGAAGCTCTTAGGAGTTACACCAAACAAGCCCTAAGTGTGATTGATATATAAATATGGAAATCAATCATTACTAACAACTTGAATTTAAGTTCTTGAAAGTTCATAGACCTTGACTCAAAGAATTGTTAGGTTAGTGATGGCTTCAACTCGACTCCTTTCATAAGCCTAATTAGTTTGTTGATTGCATAAAATTTAATATCATTAAATATATATCAATAAATAGAGTTCTTTTAATCCAAAGTTCAATATCGTTAAATATATATTAATAAAAAGAGTTTATAATCTAAATATTGATATCCATAATCTACATAAAACTTTAAATCTAGAAGTTAATTTTTGAAAATATTAATTAAAAGGTAATTTTTAGACAATTCCTCCAAAAAAAAAAAATTTCTAAGGACAACCTGCGCTAACCATCCCCAAATAATTCATACTAACCCAACATTCATTAAAAAATTGGAACCCAACTTAAAAAACGTTACTCTCTAATGAATATTTTTAAAATCCAACATCTTGATTTAGTATTTTATTTATATAAATTATACATG